GTGAGTGAGTGGGTGAGTGAGTGTGTGAGTGAGTGAGTGGGTGAGTGAGTGGGTGAGGGAGTGGTTGAGTGAGTAAGTGGGTGAGTGTGTGAGTGAGTGGGTGAGTGCGTGTGTGAGTGAGTGGGTGAGTGAGTGGCTGAGTGAGTAGGTGAGTGAGTGGGTGAGTGAGTGGGTGAGTGAGTGGTTGAGTGAGTGAGTGGGTGAGTGTGTGAGTGAGTGAGTGGGTGAGTGAGTGGGTGAGTGAGTGGGTGAGTGGCTGAGTGAGTGGGTGAGTGAGTGGGTGAGTGAGTGTGTGAGTAGGTGAGTGAGTGAGTGGCTGAGTGAGTGGGTGAGTGAGTAGGTGAGTAGCTGTGTGAGTGGCTGAGTGAGTAGGTGATTCGGTGAGTGGGCAAGTCAGTGAGTAGGTGAGTGTGTGTTGGTGTGTGTGCGTAGGTGTTTGTGTGTGTAGGTGTGTGTGTGTAGGTGTGTGTATAGGTGTGTGTAGGTGTGTGTAGGTGTGTGTGTGTGTAGGTGTGTGTGTGTGTGGGTGTGTGTGTAGGTGTGTGTGTATGTAGGTGTGTGTGTGTAGGTGTGTGTGTAGGTGTGTGTGTAGGTGTGTGTGTGTGTAGGTGTGTGTGTGTGTAGGTGTGTGTGTGTGTGTAGGTGTGTGTGTGTGGGTGTGTGTGTAGGTGTGTAGGTGTGTGTGTGTAGGTGTGTGTGTAGGTGTGTAGGTGTGTGTGTAGGTGTGTAGGTGTGTGTGTAGGTGTGTGTGTAGGTGTGTGTGTGTAGGTGTGTGTAGGTGTGTAGGTGTGTGTGTAGGTGTGTGTGTAGGTGTGTGTGTGTAAGTGTGTAGGTGTTTGTGTGTAGGTGTGTGTAGGTGTGTGTGTGTAGGTGTGTGTGTGTAGGTGTGTAGGTGTGTGTGTGTAGGTTTGTGTGTAGGTGTGTGTGTAGGTGTGTGTGTAGGTGTGTGTGTAGGTGTGTGTGTGTAGGTGTGTATGTAGGTGTGTGTGTAGGTGTGTGTGTGTAGGTGTGTGTGTGTAGGTGTGTGTGTGTAGGTGTGTGTGTAGGTGTGTAGGTGTGTGTGTAGGTGTGAAGGTGTGTGTGTAGGTGTGTAGGTGTGTAGGTGTGTAGGTGTGTGTAGGTGTGTAGGTGTGTGTGTGTAGGTCTGTGTGTGTGTGTAGGTGTGTGTGTAGGTGTGTGTGTGTAGGTGTGTGTGTGTGTGTGTAGGTGTGTGTGTGTAGGTGTGTGTGTGTGTGTAGGTGTGTGTGTGTAGGTGTGTGTGTAGGTGTGTGTAGGTGTGTGTAGGTGTGTGTAGGTGTGTGTGTAGGTGTGTAGGTTTGTGTGTAGGTGTGTGTAGGTGTGTGTAGGTGTGTGTGTAGGTGTGTAGGTTTGTGTGTAGGTGTGTGTGTGTAGGTGTGTGTGTAGGTGTGTAGGTTTGTGTGTAGGTGTGTGTGTGTAGGTGTGTGTAGGTGTGTAGGTGTGTGTGTGTAGGTGTGTGTGTGTAGGTGTGTGTGTAGGTGTGTAGGTTTGTGTGTAGGTGTGTGTGTGTAGGTGTGTGTAGGTGTGTAGGTGTGTAGGTGTGTGTGTAGGTGTGTAGGTTTGTGTGTAGGTGTGTGTGTGTAGGTGTGTGTAGGTGTGTAGGTGTGTGTGTGTGTGTAGGTGTGTGTGTAGGTGTGTGTGTCCAGTTTTTTCATTTTCGCCGCGGTCCCTAAGGGGGCGGGGCGGGGGGGTAACCTGAGTGGACGGGAGGGGGGAGGGGCGGAAGGGGGGAGGGGCATGAAGGGGGAGGGGCTGGAGAAAAGTGGGGGAGGGAGGGGCTGGAGAAAAGTGGGGGAGGGAGGGGCTGGAGGGATTGGGGGGTGAGAGCCTCCACTAAGGAAAGTTCCATGCCCAAGCACAGACCCACAGAGACTCACAGAGACCTAGAGACCCACATAGACCCATAGAGACTCACAGAGACCCACAGAGACCCACAGAGACCCACAGAGACCCACAGAGACCCATAGAAACCCACAGAGACCCACAGAGACCCACAGAGACCCATAGAGACCCACAGAGACCCACAGAGACTCACAGAGACCCATAGAGACCCACAGAGACTCATAGAAACCCATAGAGACCCACATAGACCCAGAGACCCACAGAGACCCACAGAGACCCACAGAGACTCACAGAGACCCACATAGACCCAGAGACTCATAGAGACCCAGAGACCCACAGAGACTCATAGAGACCCACAGAGACTCATTGAGACCGTCAGAGACCCAGAGACTCATAGAGACCCAGAGACCCACAGAGACTCATAGAGACCCACAGAGACTCATTGAGACCGTCAGAGACCCACAGAGACGCACAGAGACTCATAGAAACCCTCAGAGACCCATAGAGACCCACAGAGACCCACAGAGACTCATAGAGACCCACAGAGACTCACAGAGACCCACAGAGACACACAGAGACCCACAGAGACTCATAGAGACCCACAGAGACACACAGAGACCCACAGAGACTCATAGAGACCCACAGAGACTCACAGAGACCCACAGAGACACACAGAGACCCACAGAGACTCACAGAGACCCACAGAGACACACAGAGACCCACAGAGACTCATAGAGACCCACAGAGACCCACAGAGACTCACAGAGACCTACAGAGACTCATAGAAACCCATAGAGACCCACAGAGACCCACAGAGACTCACAGAGACTCACATAGACCTAGAGACCCACATAGACCCATAGAGACTCACAGAGACCCACAGAGACTCATAGAAACCCATAGAGACCCACAGAGACCCACAGAGACTCACAGAGACCCAGAGAAACCCACAGAGACCCACAGAGACTCACAGAGACCCATAGAGACCCACAGAGACTCACAGAGACTCACATAGACCCACAGAGACTCATAGAGACCCACATAGACCCACAGAGACTCATAGAGACAAACAGAGACTCATAGAGATCCACAGAGACCCATAGAGACAAACAGAGACTCATAGAGACAAACAGAGACTCATAGAGACCCACAGAGACCCATAGAGACAAACAGAGACCCATAGAGACAAACAGAGACTCATAGAGACAAACAGAGACTCATAGAGACTCATAGAGACCCACAGAGACCCATAGACACCCACAGAGACCCACACAGTCCAACATAAACCCACAGAAACCCATAGAGACCCAAAGGGACCCAGCCAGATGTGCAGAACTCGCAGCAGGGTCTGGGATGGAGCCCACGTCCTCCTGTAGACCAGGCAAGGTAGTTAAAATCTCTCCATTGTCAGGATCGAACCCACAACCTCCTGTAGACCAGGCGAGGTAGTCAACATCTCCCCTTTGTCAGGACCGAACCCACGACCTCCTGTATACCAGGCAAGGTAGTTAAAATCTCTCCATTGTCAGGATCGAACCTATGACCTCCTGTAGAACAGGCGAGGTAGTCAACATCTCTCCATTGTCAGGATGGAACCCACGACCTCCTGTGTACCAGGCGAGGTAGTCAACATCTCACCATTGTCTTGACCGAACCCACGACCTCCTGTATACCAGGCGTGGTAGTCAACATCTCCCCATTGTCAGGATCGAACCCACGACCTCCTGTATACCAGGCGAGGTAGTCAACATCTCCCCATTGTCAGGATCTTACCCACGACCTCCTGTATACCAGGCGAGGGAGACAACATCTCCCCATTGTCAGGATGGAACCCACGACCTCCTGTATACCAGGCGAGGTAGTCAACATCTCCCCATTGTCAGGATGGAACCCACGACCTCCTGTAGACCAAGCGAGGTAGTCAACATCTCCCCATTGTCAGGATGGAACCCACGACCTCCTGTAGACCAAGGGAGGTAGTCAACATCTCCCCATTGTCAGGATGGAACCCACGACCTCCTGTGTACCAGGCGAGGTAGTCAACATCTCCCCATTGTCAGGATGGAACCCACGACCTCCTGTGTACCAGGCGAGGTAGTCAACATCTCCCCATTGTCAGGATGGAACCCACGACCTCCTGTGCACCAGGCGAGGTAGTCAACATCTCTCCATTGTCAGGATAGATCCCACGACCTCCTGTGTACCAGGCGAGGTAGTCAACATCTCCCCATTGTCAGGATGGAACCCACGACCTCCTGTAGACCAGGCGAGGTAGTCAACATCTCTCAGGGTAATCGAACCCACAACCTCCTGTCGAGCAGGCGAGGTAGTCAACATCTCCCCATTGTCAGGATGGAACCCACGACCTCCTGTGTACCAGGCGAGGTAGTCAACATCTGCAGGACACCGAGGGAGAGAGGGGAGTGAGTCTGAAAGAAAGGGGATGGAGGGGGAGGGGTGGTGGTAATGTGATGGTTGAGTGGGGGAGGGGAGAGAGACAGAGAGAGAGAGAGCGGTAGGGAGGGAGATGGGGAGGGAGGGGGGAGGGAGATGGGGAGATGGGGGAGGAGATGGGGGAGGGAGATGGGGGGGAGATGGGGGAGGGCGATGGGGGAGGGAGATGGGGGAGGGAGATGGGGAGGGAGATGGGGAGAGAGGGGTGGAGGGAGATGGGGAGGGAGATGGGGAGGGAGATGGGGTGGAGATGGAGAGGGGGGGAGATGGAGAGGGGGGAGATGGAGAGAGGGGGGAGATGGGGAGAGAGAGGGGGAGGGAGATGGAGGGAGGGAGAGATGGGGGAGGGAGGGGAGGGAGATGCATAGATGGGGGTGAGGAGGGAGGGATGGAGATGGGGGAGATGGAGAGAGGGAGATGGGGAGAGAGGGAGATGGGGAGAGAGGGAGATGGGGAGAGAGGGAGATGGGGAGAGAGGGAGATGGGGAGAGAGGGAGATGGGGAGAGAGGGAGATGGGGAGAGAGAGATGGGGAGAGAGAGATGGAGAGATGGGGGTGGGGAGGGAGGGAGGAGGGTGGGGAGAGACGGGAGGGAGATGGAGAGAGAGATGGGGGTAGGGAGGGAGGGAGATGGAGAGAGGAGAGAGAGGGGGGGAGGTTAAGAGGGGGGAGGTTGAGATGGGGGAGGGAGAGATGGGGATGGGGAGGCGTGTTGTGGAGCGAGGGAGTGCGTTCCGTGGGTGAGGAATGTGAGACACAGGGGGAGACACAGGGGGAGAGACAGGGGGAGAAAGAGTGACGGAGTCTCCTTCAAGTCTCGCGTGAGTTACTTTGTCTCTGTCTCTCTGTCTCTGTGTCTTTGTGTCTCTGTGTCTCTCTCTCTCTCTGTGTCTTTCTCTGTCTCTCTCTCTCTGTGTCTCTGTCTGTCTCTGTGTCTCTGTCTGTCTCTGTGTCTCTGTCTGTCTCTGTGTCTCTGTGTCTCTCTGTGTCTCTGTGTCTCTCTCTGTGTCTCTGTGTCTCTCTCTGTGTCTCTGTGTCTCTCTCTGTGTCTCTCTCTCTCTGTGTCTCTGTCTCTGTGTCTCTCTCTGTGTCTGTGTCTCTGTGTATCTGTGTCTGTGTTTCTGTGGTTCTGTCTCTGTGTCTCTGTGTCTCTCTCTCTCTCTGTGTCTCTCTCTGTGTCTGTGTCTCTCTGTGTCTGTGTCTCTGTGTCTCTCTCTGTGTCTCTGTGTCTCTCTGTGTGTGTCTCTCTCTCTCTCTGTCTCTCTGTGTCTCTCTCTTTGTCTCTCTGTGTCTCTCTCTCTCTGTGTCTCTCTCTGTGTGTCTCTCTCTGCGTCTCTCTCTCTGTGTCTGTCTCTGTGTCTCTCTGTCTCTCTCTGCGTCTCTCTGTCTCTTTCTGTGTCTCTCTGTCTCTCTCTGTGTCTCTGTCTCTCTGTCTCTGTCTCTCTCTGTGTCTCTGTTTCTCTGTCTCTCTCTGTGTCTCTGTCTCTCTGTCTCTCTCTCTGTGTCTCTGTGTCTCTCTGTGTCTCTCTGTGTCTCTCTTTGTCTCTCTCTGTGTCTCTGTGTCTCTCTCTCTGTATCTGTCTCTCTGTGTCTCTCTCTGTGTCTCTCTCTGTCTCTCTCTCTGTGTCTCTGTGTCTCTATCTGTCTCTCTATTTGTCTCTCTCTCTGTGTCTCTCTCTGCGTATCTCTCTCTGTGTCTCTCTGTGTCTCTGTCTCTCTGTGTCTCTGTCTCTCTGTGTCTCTGTCTCTCTGTGTCTCTGTCTCTCTCTCTCTGTGTCTCTCTCTGTCTCTCTGTGTCTCTGTCTCTTTGTGTCTCTCTCTGTATCTCTGTCTCTCTCTCTCTGTCTCTGTGTGTCTCTGTGTGTCTCTCTGTGTCTCTGTGTGTGTGTCTCTCTCTCTCTGTATCTTTGTGTCTCTGTCTCTCTGTGTCTCTGTCTCTCTGTGTCTCTCTCTGTCTCTCTCTCTGTCTCCCTCTCTTTCTGTGTCTCTCTCTGTGTCTTTGTCTATCTGTGTCTCTCTCTGTGTCTCTGTCTCTCTGTGTATCTCTCCGTGTCTCTTTGTGTCTCTTTCTGTGTCTCTCTGTCTCTCCCCGTGTCTCTCTGTGTAGTGTAGTGCATAGTGTGGTGTGTAGTGTGGTGTGTAGTGTGTAGTGTAGGGCATAGTGTGGTGGGTAGTGGGTAGTGTAGTGTGTAGTGTGGTGTGTAGTGTGTAATGTGGTGTGTAGTGTAGTGGGTAGTGTAGTGTGTAGTGTGGTGTGTAGTGTGTAGTATGGTGTGGTGTGTAGTGGGTAGTGTAGTGTGTAGTGTAGTGGGGTGTGTAGTGTGGTGTGTAGTGTAGTGTGTAGTGTAGTGTGTAGTGTAGTATGTAGTGTATGTATGAGTGAGTGAGTGTGAGTAAGTGAGTGTGTGAGTGAGTGTATGAGTGAGTGGTGTATGAGTGAGTGGTATATGAGTGAGTGGTGTATGAGTGAGTGGTGTATGAGTGAGTGGTGTATGAGTGAGTGGTGTATGAGTGAGTGGTGTATGAGTGAGTGGTGTATGAGTGAGTGGTGTATGAGTGAGTGGTGTATGAGTGAGTGGTGTATGAGTGAGTGGTGTATGAGTGAGTGGTGTATGAGTGAGTGTATGAGTGAGTGTTTGAGTGAGTGTTTGAGTGAGTGAGTGTATGAGTCTGTGAGTGTGTGAGTGTGTGAGTGAGTGAGTGTGTGAGTGGAGTGATCAGCACTTGCCCCTACAGCCCTGCTAGAGGCTACCTGGGGGAGCTTTGTCAGTGTCTCAGAACTTGCCCCTACAGCCCTGCTAGAGGCTACCTGGGGGAGCTTTGTCAGTGTCTCAGAACTTGCCCCTACAGCCCTGCTAGAGGCTACCTGGGGAGCTTTGTCTGTGTCTCAGCACTTGCCCCTACAGCCCTGCCAGAGGCTACCTGGGGGAGCTTTGTCTGTGTCTCAGCACTTGCCCCTGCAGCCCTGCCAGAAGCTACCTGGGGGAGCTTTGTCTGTGTCTCAGCACTTGCCCCTGCAGCCCTGCTAGAGGCTACCTGGGGGAGCTTTGTCTCTGTCTCAGCACTTGCTCCTACAGCCCTGCTAGAGGCTACCTGGGGGAGCTTTGTCTCTGTCTCAGCACTTGCCCCTGCAGCCCTGCTAGAGGCTACCTGGGGGAGCTTTGTCTGTGTCACAGCACTTGCCCCTACAGCCCTGCTAGAGGCTACCTGGGGGAGCTTTGTCTGTGTCTCAGCACTTGCCCCTACAGCCCTGCTAGAGGCTACCTGGGGGAGCTTTGTCTGTGTCTCAGCACTTGCCCCTACAGCCCTGCTAGAGGCTACCTGGGGGAGCTTTGTCTGTGTCTCAGCACTTGCCCCTACAGCCCTGCCAGAGGCTACCTGGGGGAGCTTTGTCTGTGTCTCAGCACTTGCCCCTACAGCCCTGCTAGATGCTACCTGGGGGAGCTTTGTCTGTGTCTCAGCACTTGCCCCTGCAGCCCTGCTAGAGGCTACCTGGGGGAGTTTTGTCTGTGTCTCAGCACTTGCCCCTGCAGCCCTGCTAGAGGCTACCTGGGGGAGCTTTGTCTGTGTCACAGCACTTGCCCCTACAGCCCTGCTGGAGTCTACTTGGGGGAGCTTTGTCTGTGTCTCAGCACTTGCCCCTACAGCCCTGCCAGAGGCTACCTGGGGAGCTTTGTCTTTGTCTCAGCACTTGCCCCTACAGCCCTGCTAGAGGCTACCTGGCGGAGCTTTGTCTGTGTCTCAGCATTTGCCCCTACAGCCCTGCTAGAGGCTACCTGGGGGAGCTTTGTCTGTGTCTCAGCACTTGCCCCTACAGCCCTGCTAGAGGTTACCTGGGGGAGCTTTGTCGTGTCTTAGCACTTGCCCCTACAGCCCTGCTAGCGGCTACCTGGGGGAGCTTTGTCTGTGTCTCAGCACTTGCCCCTACAGCCCTGCTAGAGGCTACCTGGGGGAGCTTTGTCTGTGTCTCAGCACTTGCCCCTACAGTCCTGCTAGAGGCTACCTGGGGGACCTTTGTCTGTGTCTCAGCACTTGCCCCTACAGCCCTGCTAGAGGCTACCTGGGGGACCTTTGTCTGTGTCTCAGCACTTGCCCCTACAGCCCTGCTAGAGGCTGCCTGGGGGAGCTTTGTCTGTGTCTCAGCACTTGCCCCTACAGCCGTGCCAGAGGCTACCTGGGGGAGCTTTGTCTGTGTCTCAGCACTTGCCCCTACAGCCCTGCTAGAGGTTACCTGGGGGAGCTTTGTCGTGTCTTAGCACTTGCCCCTACAGCCCTGCTAGCAGCTACCTGGGGGAGCTTTGTCTGTGTCTCAGCACTTGCCCCTACAGCCCTGCTAGAGGCTACCTGGGGGAGCTTTGTCTGTGTCTCAGCACTTGCCCCTACAGCCCTGCTAGAAGCTACCTGGGGGACCTTTGTCTGTGTCTCAGCACTTGCCCCTACAGCCCTGCTAGAGGCTACCTGGGGGAGCTTTGTGTGAGTGTCAGCACTTGCCCCTACAGCCCTGCTAGATGCTACCTGGGGGAGCTTTGTCTGTGTCTCAGCACTTGCCCCTAACAGCCCTGCTAGAGGCTACCTGTGAGAGCTTTGTCTGTGTCTCAGCACTTGCCCCTACAGCCCTGCTAGAGGCTACCTGGGGGAGCTTTGTCTGTGTCTCAGCACTTGCCCCTGCAGCCCTGCTAGGGGCTACCTGGGGGAGCTTTGTCTGTGTCTCAGCACTTGCCCCTACAGCCCTGCTAGAGGCTACCTGGGGGAGCTTTGTCTGTGTCTCAGCACTTGCCCCTACAGCCCTGCTAGAGGCTACCTGGGGAGCTTTGTCTGTGTCTCAGCACTTGCCCCTGCAGCCCTGCTAGAGGCTACCTGGGGGAGCTTTGTCTGTGTCTCAGCACTTGCCCCTACAGCCCTGCTAGAGGCTACCTGGGGGAGCTTTGTCTGTGTCTCAGCACTTGCCCCTGCAGCCCTGCTAGAGGCTACCTGGGGGAGCTTTGTCTGTGTCTCAGCACTTGCCCCTAACAGCCCTTCCAAAATGCTACCTGTGAGAGCTTTGTCTGTGTCTCAGCACTTGCCCCTACAGCCCTGCTAGAGGCTACCTGGGGGAGCTTTGTCTGTGTCTCAGCACTTTCCCCTACAGCCCTGCTAGAGGCTACCTGGGGGAGCTTTGTCTGTGTCTCAGCACTTGCCTCTACAGCCCTGCTAGAGGCTACCTGGGGGAGCTTTGTCTTTGTACTCGGCACTTGCTCCTACAGCCCTGCTAGAGGCTACCTGGGGGAGATTTGTCTGTGTCTCAGCACTTGCCCCTGCAGCCTTGCTAGAGGCTACCTGGGGGAGCTTTGTCTGTCTGTGTCTCAGCACTTGCCCCTACAGCCCTGCTAGAGGCTACCTGGGGGAGCTTTGTCTGTGTCTCAGCACTTGCCCCTACAGCCCTGCTAGAGGCTACCTGGGGGAGCTTTGTCTGTCTCTCAGCACTTGCCCCTACAGCCCTGCTAGAGGCTACCTGGGGGAGCTTTGTCTGTGTCTCAGCACTTGCCTCTACAGCCCTGCTAGAGGCTACCTGGGGGAGCTTTGTCTTTGTACTCGGCACTTGCTCCTACAGCCCTGCTAGAGGCTACCTGGGGGAGATTTGTCTGTGTCTCAGCACTTGCCCCTGCAGCCTTGCTAGAGGCTACCTGGGGGAGCTTTGTCTGTGTGTGTCTCAGCACTTGCCCCTACAGCCCTGCCAGAGGCTACCTGGGGGAGCTTTGTCTGTGTCTCAGCATTTGCCCCTACAGCCCTGCTAGAGGCTACCTGGGGGAGCTTTGTCTGTGTCTCAGCACTTGCCCCTACAGCCCTGCTAGAGGCTACCTGGGGGAGCTTTGTCTGTGTCTCACCACTTGCCCCTACAGCCCTGCTAGCGGCTACCTGGGGGAGCTTTGTCTTTTGTCTCAGCACTTGCCCCTACAGCCCTGCCAGAGGCTACCTGGGGGAGCTTTGTCTGTGTCTAAGCACTTGCCCCTACAGCCCTGCTAGAGACTACCTGGGGGAGCTTTGTCTGTGTCTCAGCACTTGCCCCTGCAGCCCTGCTAGAGACTACCTGGGGGAGCTTTGTCTTTGCTAGGTAGCCGCAGACATTCCCGAATCGTTTCCTCAATGGGACCTTAGGGGGGTCACGTGATCAGTGATCCTCTCCTGGAGCCAGTCCACAGGACTCCACCCACAAACCTTCCACTCATCATCAGCAGCATCATCATCATCATTAGCAGCAGCGTCATCATCATCAGCAGCAGCAGCGTCATCAACAGCATCATCAGCAGCAGCGTCATCATCATCAGCAGCAGCAGCGTCATCATCAGCAGCAGCATCATCATCAGCAGCAGCAGCGTCATCATCAGCAGCAGCAGCGTCATCATCATCATCAGCAGTAGCGTCATCATCAGCAGCAGCAGCGTCATCATCATCAGCAGCAGCATCATCATCATCAGCAACACCATCATCAGTAGCAGCAGCACCATCATCAGTAGCAGCAGCATCATCATCAACAGCAGCAGCATCATCATCAGCATCATCATCAGCATCATCATCATCAGCAGCAGCAGCAGCCTCAGCTGTGACTGTATTAGTCTGCGTCTGTATCCACGCGCCATGGATGAGGCCCGGGATCTGAAACGTCGACGATGTTTTTAATTATTATTGAGGAGGAGGAGGTCACGTGACAGAACCTGCAGGTGCCATGGGGTTGTGCTGCTGTGCCAGGCTAGGTGCATGAGGAGGTGGTCACGTGACAGACCCTGCAGGTGCCATGGGTTGTGCTGCTGTGCCAGGCTAGGTGCATGAGGAGGTGGTCACGTGACAGACCCTGCAGCTGCCATGGGTTGTGCTGCTGTGCCAGGCTAGGTGCACCTAGCCTGGCACTGCCCCAGTAGTCTCAAGGTGCACCTAGCCTGGCACTGCTCAGGAGGTCACGGGAGATACGATCCAGACGGAGCGTGGAGATTCCGGTTCCGCAGCTGGATTCCGGTTCGGGATTTGCATTTAATTTTCATTGTATTCCAGGCCAAAATCGTGGACTGGATCAAGGAATTCCCGGACTGGATCAGCTGAATCGCGGACTGGATCGCCCACTCTGGACGTGGTCTCTCCAAATTCCGGGCTGGATCCCCTGAATCCCGGAGTGGAGCTCCGAATCACGGACTGGAGCCTCTGCTTTTCACGGACTGGATCGCCGAGGGCTGGATTCAGCGCCCCCCCCCGAAATGGATCTCTGACTTTCCGGATCTGGATCGCTGAATTCCCCCGGACCGGATTCCTCAACCCCTCCCCCGCCGGAACTGGATCGCCGAGTGTTCTGGAACTGGATCGCTGATTTTCTGGAACTGGATCTCTGAGTTTTGGAACTGGATCGCCAAGTTCTGGAACTGGATCGCAGACTTTCCGGATCTGGATCGCTCAGTTCTGGAACTGGATCGCTGACTTTCCAGAACTGGATTGCCAAGTCCTGGAACTGGATCGCTGAGTTTCCGGATCTGGATCGCCAAGTTCTGGAACTGGATCGCTGATTTTCTGGAACTGGATCTCTGAGTTTTGGAACTGGATTGCCAAGTTCTGGAACTGGATCGCAGACTTTCCAGATCTGGATCGCTCAGTTCTGGAACTGGATCGCTGACTTTCCAGAACTGGATTGCCAAGTCCTGGAACTGGATCGCTGAGTTTCCGGAACTGGATCGCCAAGTTCTGGAACTGGATCGCTGACTTTCCGGATCTGGATCGCTCAGTTCTGGAACTGGATCGCAGACTTTCCGGATCTGGATCGCCAAGTTCTGCAACTGGATCGCTGACTTTCCGGGAAACTGGATTTCGGAATCCGCACCGGGATCTTCTTTTCACCGAACTGGATCGCCGATTTAAACTTTTTTTTTTTTTAGCCAGACCCGGACTGGACTAAATAGCCGGAACGGACTTGATACTGGACCGGACCGGATCGCCGATTCCCTCAGGAGGTCGAGCAACTCAACCCTGCCACCGCCTCCTGCCGGTAAGTGGCGCCTCTACGTCCGCTCAGCCCGAATGAGATGTGACTACCTCGCTGGTATACAGGAGGTCGTGGGTTCGATCCCTGACAATGGTCGAGATGTTGACTACCTCGCCTGGTCTACAGGAGGTCGTGGGTTCGATCCTGACAATGGGGAGATGTTGACTACCTCGCCTGGTATACAGGAGGTCGTGGGTTCGATTGGGGAGATGTTGACTACCTCGCCTGGTCTACAGGAGGTCGTGGGGTCGATCCTGACAATGGAGAGATGTTGACTACCTCGCCTGGTATACAGGAGGTCGTGGGTTCCATCCTGACAATGGAGAGATGTTGACTACCTCGCCTGGTCTACAGGAGGTTGTGGGTTCAATCCTGACAATGGGGAGATGTTGACTACCTCGCCTGGTATACAGGAGGTCGTGGGTTCGATCCTGACAATGGTGAGATGTTGACTACCTCGCCTGGTCTACAGGAGGTCGTGGGTTCAATCCTGACAATGGGGAGATGTGACTACCTCGCCTGGTCTACAGGAGGTCGTGGGGTTCGATCCTGACAATGGGGAGATGTTGACTACGTCGCCTGGTCTACAGGAGGTCGTGGGTTCCATCCTGACAATGGAGAGATGTTGACTACGTCGCCTGGTCTACAGGAGGTCGTGGGTTCGATCCTGACAATGGGGAGATGTTGACTACCTCGCCTGGTATACAGGAGGTCGTGGGTTCGATCCTGACAATGGAGAGATGTTGACTACCTCGCCTGGTGTACAGGAGGTCGTCGGTTTCATCCTGACAATGGGGAGATGTTGACTACCTCGCCTGGTGCACAGGAGGTCGTGGGTTCGATCCTGACAATGGGGAGATGTTGACTACCTCGCCTGGTCTACAGGAGGTCGTGGGTTCCATCCTGACAATGGGGAGATGTTGACTACCTCGCCTGGTACACAGGAGGTCGTGGTTTCCATCCTGACAATGGGGAGATGTTGACTACCTCGCCCGGTATACAGGAGGTCGTGGGTTCGATCCTGACAATGGAGAGATGTGACTACCTCGCATGGTCTACAGGAGGTCGTGGGTTCGATCCTGACAATGGGGAGATGTTGACTACCTCGCCTGGTCTACAGGAGGTCGTGGCGTCTCGATTGGGGAGATGTTGACTACCTCGCCCGGTATACAGGAGGTCGTGGGTTCCATCCTGACAATGGGGAGATGTTGACTACCTCGCCTGGTCTACAGGAGGTCGTGGGTTCGATCCTGACAATGGAGAGATGTTAACTACCTCGCCTGGTGCACAGGAGGTCGTGGGTTCGATCCTGACAATGGAGAGATGTTGACTACCTCGCCAGGTATACAGGAGGTCGTGGGTTCGATCCTGACAATGGGGAGATGTTAACTACCTCGACCGGTATACAGGAGGTCGTGGGTTCGATCCTGACAATGGGGAGATGTTGACTCCCTCGCCTGGTCTACAGGAGGTCGTGGGGTCGATCCTGACAATGGGGAGATGTTGACTACCTCGCCCTGGTCTACAGGAGGTCGTGGGTTCGATCCTGATAATGGGGAGATGTTGACTACCTTCGCCTGGTCTACAGGAGGTCGTGGGTTCCATCCTGACAATGGAGAGATGTTAACTACCTCGCCTGGTCTAAGGAGGTTGTGGGTTCCATCCTGACAATGGAGAGATGTTGACTACCTCGCCAGGTATACAGGAGGTCGTGGGTTCGATCCTGACAATGGGGAGATGTTAACTACCTCGCCTGGTATACAGGAGGTTGTGGGTTCCATCCTGACAATGGAGAGATGTTGACTACCTCGCCAGGTATACAGGAGGTCGTGGGTTCGATCCTGACAATGGGGAGATGTTAACTACCTCGCCCGGTATACAGGAGGTCGTGGGTTCGATCTGGACAATGGGGAGATGTTAACTACCTCGCTGGTCTACAGGAGGTCGTGGGTTCGATCCTGACAATGGGGAGATGTTGACTACGTCGCCTGGTCTACAGGAGGTCGTGTGTCGATCCTGACAATGGGGAGATGTTAACAACCTCGCCTGGTCTACAGGAAGGTCGTGGGTTCGATCCTGACAATGGGGGAGATGTGACTTACCTAGCCATGGTCTACAGGAGGTCGTGGGTTCCATCCTGACAATGGGGAGATGTTGACTACCTCGCCTGGTCTACAGGAGGTCGTGGGTTCCATCTGACAATGGGGAGATGTTGACTACCTTGCCTGGTATGCAGGAGGTCGTGGGTTCGATCCTGACAATGGGGAGATGTTGACTACCTCGCCTGGTCTACAGGAGGTCGTGGGTTCCATCCTGACAATGGGGAGATGTTGACTACCTCGCCTGGTATGCAGGAGGTCGTGGGTTCCATCCTGACAATGGGGAGATGTTGACTACCTCGCCTGGTATGCAGGAGGTCGTGGGTTCGATCCCGTGACCCTGTCGATGGCTCCTGCTGCTCCATATTTAGAGTCTGCGTCTCTCTCTCTCTCTCTGTCTCTCTCCGTGATGTTCACCGCGTAGAATTTCCTCTGGATTTCCCGTCACGCCTTGAGAATCAACGTCTGCACGCAATTCAGAGAATTTGGTTGCGGAGAAAAATTGTCCACAGGAGGCTGATTGTATCAGCCGCGTGGGTCTCTATGAGTCTCTATGGGTCTCTGTGTCTCTGTGTATCTCTATGGGTCTCTGTGTATCTCTATGGGTCTCTATGGGTCTCTATGAGTCTCTGTGTCTCTGTGTATATCTATGGGTCTCTATGTGTCTCTGTGTATCTCTATGTTTGTCTGTGTTTCTATTGGTTTCTATGGATCTTTATGTGTCTCTGTGTATCTCTATGTGTCTCTGTGTATCTCTATGTGTCTCTGTGTATCTCTATCTGCCTCTGTGTTTCTATTGGTCTCTATGGGTCTCTATTGGTCTCTCTGTGTCTCTGTATCTCTGTGTGTCTCTGTGTATCTCTATGAGTCTCTGTGTCTCTGTGTATCTCTATGGGTCTCTATGGGTCTCTATGAGTCTCTGTGTATCTCTACGTGTCTCTGTGTTTCTATTGGTCTCTGTGGGCCTCTATGGGTCTCTATGAGTCTCTGTGTCTCTGTATCTCTGTCTGTCTCTGTGTATATCTGTGTATCTCTGTTTGTCTGTGTTTCTATTGGTGTCTATGGGTCTCTATGAGTCTCTGTGTATCTCCATGGGTCTCTATGTGTCTTTGTGTATCTCTATGTGTCTCTGTGTGTCTCTGTGTATCTCTATGTGTCTGTGTGTCTCTGTGTATCTCTATGGGTCTCTGTGTGTCTATGTATCTCTGTGTTCTATTTGTGTCTCTGTGTCTCTATGGGTCTCTATGTGTCTGTGTCTCTACGTATCTGTATGTGTCCTATGTGTCTCTATGTATCTCTATGGGTATCTATGGGTCTCTGTGTCTTTATGTGTCTCTATGTGTCTCTATGTGTCTCTGTGTTTCTATTGGTGTCTATGGGTCTCTATGTGTCTCTGTGTGTCTCTGTGTATCTCTATGTTTGTCTGTGTTTCTATTGGTCTCTATGGATCTCTGTGTCTCTATGTGTCTCTGTGTATCTCTATGTGTCTCTGTGTATCTCTATGTTTGTCTGTGTTTCTATTGGTCTCTATGGATCTTTATGTGTCTCTATGTGTCTCTGTGTATCTCTATGTGTCTCTGTGTATCTCTATGTGTCTCTGTTTCTATTTACTCTATGGGTCTCTATGAGTCTCCGTGTCTCTGTGTATCTCTATGGGTCTCTATGGGTCTCTATGAGTCTCTGTGTCTCTGTGTATCTTTATGGGTCTCTATGTGTCTCTGTGTATCTCTATGTGTCTCTGTGTATCTCTATGGGTCTCTATGGGTCTCTATGAGTCTCTGTGTCTCTGTGTATCTCTGGGTCTCTATGTGTCTCTGTGTATCTCTATGTTTGTCTGTGTTTCTATTGGTCTCTATGGATCTTTATGTGTCTCTATGTGTCTCTGTGTATCTCTATGTGTCTCTGTGTATCTCAATGTGTCTCTGTGTTTCTATTGGTCTCTACGGGTCTCTATGTGTCTCTACGTATCTCTATGTGTCTCTGTGTGTCTCTATGTGTCTCTGTGTGTCTATTGGTGTCTATGGGTCTCTATGGGTCTTTGTGTCGCTATGTATCTCTGTGTTTCTAGGTATCTCTATGTGTCTCTGTGTATCTGTATGTGTCTCTATGGGTGTCTGTGTTTCTATTGGTCTCTATAGGTCTCTATGTGTCTCTGTGTATCTCTTTGTGTCTCTGTGTATCTCTATGTGTCTCTGTGTTTCTATGGGTCTCTATGGGTCTCTGTGTCTCTGTGTATCTTTATGGGTCTCTTTGTCTCTGTGTATCTCTATGTGTCTCTGTGTATCTCTATCGATCTCTGTGTTTCTATGCGTGTCTATGGGTCTCTATGGGTCTCTATGTGTCTATGTGTTTCTATTGGTGTGTATGGGTCTCTATGGGTCTCTATGTGTCTCTGTGTCTCTACGTATCTCTATGGGTCTCTATGTGTCTCTATTTGTCTCTGTGTATCTATGGGTCTCTATGTGTCTCTATTTGTCTCTGTGTATCTATGTGTCTCTGTGTGTCTATGTGTCTCTGTGTGTCTGTGTCTCTTTGTGTCTTTATCGATATCTGTGTTTCTGTTGGTGTCTCTGTGTCTCTATGGGTCTGTATGTCTCTGTGTCTCTACGTATCTCTATGTGTCTCTGTGTCTCTACGCATCTCTATGAGTCTCTGTGTTTCTATTGGTCTATATGGGTCTCTATGTGTCTCTGGGTCTCTATGGGTCTCTATGTGTCTCTATGGGTGTCTATGGGTCTCTATGTGTCTCTGTGTTTCTATTCGTGTCTCTGTGTCTCTGGGTCTCTGTGTGTCTATGTGTCTCTTTGTGTCTGTTGGTGTCTCTGGGTCTATATGGGTCTCTGTGTCTCTATGGGTCTCTATGTGTCTCTGTGTTTCTATTGGGGTCTATGGGTCTCTATGGGT